TACTACTACTACTACTACTACTACTACTACTACTACTACTACTACTACTACTACTACTACTACTACTACTACTACTACTACTACTACTACTAGGGCAAAACGTGGCCTATGCTCCTGGATTCTGAGGACCCCCCAGGATTCCATTGTATTTCCTTTGGATTCGGCAGGATTTATTGGTATTCTTCTGGATTCTTTTGGCCTTCCCAATATTCCACGAGATCTTAGTGGATTCCTTCGGATTCGCACATATTCCCCAGGACTTCTCAGGGTGCATCGTGGTTTCTTGGGACCTGCGTCGGTTCCTTAGGATCTCCCAGGGTTCCTGCGTCTCTTGGAGCCATCTTGGACGCTCCAGCCCCTCGCGGAACGCCCCCCCTCCAGACCTGGGGAGGGGTAGGGGGAGAGGGGGACCCCCCTCTTCGAAGGGGAAGATGATGGTTTAGCATACGGAGCTCCCCAAAGGGCTGGTGGGACTATTTCTTGTGATCCTCGTCCGTGCTTTGAAAGCCATCCAGGTAGATTGCATCGCCTTGGTATTGAGTCGATTCGCCTCTAGGCCCTTATATTTGAGCCTCACACCAGATGCCCAACAATGCTCATTAAGGAGTGCCTCTGGAGGCTGGGAAATGGTCGAACACTCGCCACCATAGGAATTCCTTAATAATCTATTTGTTTTTGAATACGAATTCAATGCGAAATGGTAGAGTCCCAGCCTCCAGAGGAATTCCTTAATAATTTATTTGTTTTTGAATGGGAATTCAATACGGAATGGTCGAGTCCCAGCCTCCAGAGGGATTCCTTAATCATTTATTTTTTGAATAGGATTTCAATAGGAAATGGTCGAGCCCCAGGCCCCAGAGAAATTCCTTAATACTATGTTTGTTTTTTAAATAGGAATTCACTAGGAAATGGTCGAGTCCCATCCCTAGAGGAATTCCTTAATACTTGATTTGTTTTTGATTGGGAATTCAATAGGAAACGGTCGAGTCCCAGCCTCCAGAGCAATTCCTTAATCACCTATTTGTTTTTGATTGGGAATTCAATAGGGAATGGTCGAGCCCCATCCCCCAGTGGGGGTTCCAGAATCATCTATTTGCTGTTGGATGGGAATTCAATAGGAAATGGTCGAGTCCCAGCCTCCAAAAGGATTCCTTAATCATCATTTTTTCAATAGGATTTCAATAGGAAGCATGCTTACTAAGAGTATGATTTTTTTTGTTTTCGCTGGCGTCGTTCCCGAACCCGAACCCGAACCCAAACCCTTGCCATTTTACCATTCATTCAAACCTGGTAACACAGACTTCGTTTAGCCTTACTACTACTACTACTACTGCTACTACTACTACCACTACTACTACTACTACTACCACTACTACTACCACCACTACTACTACTACTACTACTACTACTACTACTACTAGTACTACTACTACTACTACTACTACTACTACTACTACTACTACTACTACTACTACTACGACTACGACTACTACTACTACGACTACTACTACTACTACTACTACTACTACTACTACTACTACTACTACTACTACTACTACTACTACTACTACTACTACTACTACTACTACTACTACTACTACTACTACTACTACTACTACTACTACTACTACTACTACTACTACTACTACTACTACTACTACTACTACTACTACTACTACTACTACTACTACTACCGTTACTGCTACAACTACGACGATGAGGAGAAGGAGGAGGACGGCGTTTACCTTTCTTACTAATGTTGCTTTCCTAGAGGCTCCAACTCCTAGGTAGGGTCGCAGTGGGATATTTTTTCCCTCTTCCGTCATCTGGCGACAGCGGGCGTCATTGGGAGGCCCTCTCGCCCGACGACGGCTTGGCATGAAGTGTACTCGCTGCCCCCCTGGCCGTCTCGGGCGGGCGGTGCCTCTGGCCCGCAGTTGTGCCACCCGCGCCGCCGCCGAAGGGCAGCGAAGCGTTCCTTGGAGGGCACCGCGCAGCAAACCACCCCAACCCAACCCAAAGGCCCCAACTTGTCCTTCACTCCCGTTTGGGGGGGGCCGTCGGGAAACATTGCAAGCCCCAGCCCGAAATTTGGGTCTTCGGGTTGGGCTGGGGTGGTCTGGTAGTCAGAGGGGGCGGGTCGCGCCGCGAGTGGCGCCCGCGCCGCCTGTACGTTGGATGCTTCTGGCCATTTCCAGACGGCGCCGGCGCGAAGCGTGACGTTGCCCGCGACGGGTGGGGCGTCCCCCGTGACGGGCGTTCTCCAGAATAGTTCCCAGACGCCCCAGTGTGCCTGAGGCACGATGGCAGAATCATCAGACGAAGTGAAATTCTTTCGGCGGCGAGCGAGGGGGGGGAGTGAGGAGGAGGATGCCCTCCCAGAAGGCGGCGGGACTTTTCAGAAACCATCGCCTGTTTTCTGTGTCTTCGGGGAAGGCTTCGAACACTTCTCAGAAGGCTGGGGGACTTCCGAGTCTTTTGAGAAGGCCTGCCACTTCTCACTTCCCGGGCTCGCCGCCGATTGTTGACGCTTCCCCCGGTGACGCTCCCCCTGGCGCTCCCCCGGTGACGCTGGGGCCAGTGCCAGCAGACGCCATGGCCCTCTCCCTGCGGCTGTCTCCCCGCGGGAGGTGCTCTGGTCAGCACAGTGCAACCTTGACCTGCACCCGTCGCTCTTCGATGGTTCCGTTCGGTGGCCATGGTCCGTGGTACGTCGACTGATTGGACGGCACGCATCGTCGACTGGGGTCCTCCATGATGTAGGGCTTCTGAGGGCACTTTTTTGAGGCTGGACTGACGACGGCGGTGGTGCCCGTGCCCCACATTCGACACGTGCTGTCTCGTAGCCGAGGACAAGTTCGCTGAGGGCAAGTTCGTTGAGGAGAAGTTCGCTGAGGACAATTTCGCTAAGGACAAGTTCGCTGAGGGCCATTCTTCGGCACGCGGGCCCGGCCGTCCTTGACTTCTGGGCGTGCTGCTTGCTCGACGCTTCTGTCTCTGACCGCGGCAGTTAGGCTTGCCTGACCCACGTGACGGCGCGCGGCTCTCCCGCTTGCGCTCGCGAGCAAAAGTGTATTTCCACTGGCTCATCTAGGAACGATGCCCAGGCGAGTTGCGACGAGTAGGGAAGTTTAAGAGCATGCAGTGGTCAGCGAGGGGGGCAGCCGCCAATCCGAGTATCAGGATTAGTCTGAGCAGTCGCAGGAGCTATCCGTAATCGCAACCCGTGCAATACCACATTATATCAGCGAGTTGACGAGCCCAGAACAACTATTTGCATGCGCGTGCCAACTTGCCAAGAAAGCCAAAGCCTCGTATCCTGGCGGCCTCACGAGTTAGCTGGCGGGCTTCATGCACATTTCCCTATGGCTTCCCCTTCCGCAGTCTTTGCCATCGTGCTCCCGTCCCTGAGTTTTCTTTTTCTGCTCCCTGAGCGCCCCTCGGGCTTCCCTTTGACTTCTCTTGCTCTGCCTGTGCCTTTGGCTTCTTCTTGCCTTCCTTCAACACTCTCCGGTTCGGGGATCCTCTCCAGGCGACAGCTCTTCACGACATCGACTGCCCGAGGGCGCCTGCTGCCGAGCGTGCGCGCTTGGCGCCAAGCCGACGGCAGGCCCTGCACCGAGCGAGCTCCTCCCCGGCCCTGCCCCCCTCCTCCGCGCCCGTGGCAGGCCGGCGGCGACGCGCCAGGCTTGGAGGCCGCCGCGACGAGCGCGGGGCGGGCAGCCGTGGAGGCGTTCCGGCACGCCGAGGATCAGGAGGGGAACAGAAAAACACAGACAGACACGCTTCATCGTCGACTTCCAGGAAATTGTGGGCAAACATGGGACGCGGGGGCGACGAGGAAAACCCCGAAAATGGGGGAAGGTATGGGGGGAATCTTGGGATTTGACTCTGTGTCTTTGTGTGTCCCTGCGCCCCTTGAAAGGAGGACAACGCCACGCTGCCGGACACGTTGGCCGCGGCCGCCGCGGCCGCGGTGCACTCCTTCGCGGGCGCGCTGGCCCTGCGGGAGGTGCCGTCGCCGGTGCCCTCGGGCGGCGAGGCCGGCGATGCCGCCCAGAGCAGCAGCGGCGCGCGGGCGTGAGCCGGTGGTGGCGGGGCCGCGTGGGCCCCGAAACTGTCGGAACGGTGCGCGCACGGCGCTTTTTTTGCAGTAATCTTGGGCGCATGTGCGTGGGGGGGGGCGACAAAAGTTGGGGGGCAGCGAAGGGGCCCAGCAAGGGGGCCTCCAGGGCCCAGAGGGGGGGGGTTCTGGGGCCCGGAGGGCGCGCTTATCTCTCCCCCCCAACATGCACCGCCCCCCCATCAATGCACGCTCAAGTGCATCACCGAGCGTGTTCCACTACTCGCAACGTGCCTTCTCGCAAACGCCAGGAAGACACATGTTTGCACCGATGTGATTTATCGTAGATACCCCGCGGCGGATCCAGGCCCTTTGCGAGTAGTCACTTTGCGAGTAGTGGAGCGCGCTCGTCTGGTGTAGCCCAGTGGGACTACCCCCCCCGCCAGAGGACCTCTGCGGCGGCGCGCGGGGAGGAGGCCTTTGCGAGGCCCCCCCCCCTAAAAAAAAGAGGGCACGGGTCCTCTTCGGAGGGGCGTCGAGGGGCCTCCGAGAGGACCGCCTGGAAGGCGGGCGGGCCCCGGAAGGCCTGTGGGGCGCCCTCCTCTCATTTTGGTGTGTGTGTGTATATATATATATGCGCCCAAGAGGGCCCCCAGACGACCCCAGAGGCGCCCAAGACAGCCCAAGAGAACCCCAAGACGGCCCCAAGATGCGCCCAAGAAGGGACCACGAATCCAAAATTCGACCCCCCCGCTTGAAGAGTGCCCCAGGAGGCCCCAAGGAGCCCCCAAGAGGCCCCAGGAGGCCCCCGAGAGGCACCCAGGAGGCCCAAACGAAGCTTCAAAAGGCCACAAAACAGCCCCGAGGAGGCCCCACTACGGCCCCAAAACGGTCACCGAGAAGATGCGAAATTGCGTTCACGACGTTCCCGACAGGCCAGCCACGAGATCCAAACCAACACCCATGAGGCCTCTGACCCACCACCTAGGGCACCCGCCGCCCGTTCGCCGTCCGCGTAGCACGCACCACTCTGTACTCAACAGCTTCAGTCTCCAAGACAACACCCTGTAGTCAACAGCCCCCGTTTTCAAGGCAACACCCTGTGCTCAACAAGCTCCCGCTGCAAGAGAGCACCCTTAAGGAATTCATTCAAATCCCGACCCGCCCGCCCGCCCGCCACCCGCCCGCCCGCCGCCCGCCTGGCCGCTCGCCCGCCTTCCGCGTAGCACGCGCCACCCTGCACTCAACAGCCTCCGCCTCCAAGACAACACCTAGCATTCAACAGCCCCCAGCGCTCCCGGGACTGCCCAGGTCCGCTCCCAAACGCGCCACGACACGCCAAGAGGGCCCTAAAGCTTGCCAAGACAGCCTCAAGAGGCCCCGGACACGCCGAAAATGGCCTCAGGACGGCCGACGACGCCGCCAAAACGCCCCAAGAGCGCCTCCAGAGGCCCCTCCACAGGGCCCCGCATTTTTGCGCTATCGCATGTTCCGGCTCCCCACGGTCCCGGTCGGCGTCAGAGGCCGTTCAGATCGCTCCAAAACGGCCGAAGAGGCTCCCAAGAAAGACCAGAGACGGCCCAGGAGGCTCCCCAGATAATTCAACAGGGCTTCGAGCGCCCCAAGAGAGCCCCACGAGCGACCCAAGAGGGCCCGAAGAGCGCGACATTTCAAGGTCTCCAGCCTGAGAGGCTCCTAGGACGCCCCCGGAGGCCATCAAGAGGCTCCCAAGAAGCCCCGTGAGGCTCCCAAGAGGCCCCCCGGAAGCCCCAATGAGTTCCCAAGGGGCCCCAGGGGAGCCACCTGCGGGCCCCCAAGAGACTTCGGTAAATCGTATTTCCCAGAGCTTTCTGGGAGCATGATTCCTTGGGCTTCCGTCCACCGCCCCAACCATGTTTCCTAGCGCTGTCCAAGATCCTCAAGCGCGCCCCTGGCCTGGGCTAGTACCTGAGCGCGCGCGATGGTTCTAGTATATTCATATATATATATATGTATATATATATATATATAGAGTGAGCAAAGTTATTTGTTAATATTACCTGTGCCATTCTTATCTTTACGATCATGATGCTGATTATGATGCTGCTGCTGCTGATGTGAATGTTGATGATGATGACTATTATGGTTATTATTCGTATTCGTCTTATTATTAGTATTATCATTATTTTTATTATCATGATTGTGATTATTATTATTCTTTCTAGTTTTAGTATTTTCATTATTATTGATTTTATTAGCAACATATATTTGTATATTTATACATTCATACATATATATGTACGGTGTGTATATACATATATATTATACATGGCCTTTTATAAATACATGCTCCGAATGCGGATCATGTATTGAAAACGCAGTGGTCTAGTACTAAAAACAATGATGAGTTCATGCATACATTCATTCGTACATTGATCATGTATTATAATTCTTATGTATTAACTACTACCCTGTAATGTGAGTCATATTTAATTATGAGTTTGTAGATTTTGGAAAGTCATAGATTATGTTTTTTTTCACTAGCAAAACTGCTTGGAAGGCCGTCCCCCTCGCCCTTGGCCCCCGCTTGGCGCACCGCCGAGGATCCCCAGCCAGATGACGGCCTGACAGCGGGGTAACTCTCTGTTTCTCAAGAAGCGTCGGGGGGTGCCCCCCCGACGGGGGTCAGCCTCGCCTCGTCGTCGCGCCGCGACGGGGGTCGGAGCGCCTTTGGCGCGCTGTGGCTACCCGCGACGGGGTCGACGTGGGGCTGTTGGCGGGGGTGGCGCCCCCCCGACTCTTGTTAAGAAACTCGGGGTAGGCTGCAGCGGCCCAGGGACTCCAGAGGGGGGACTGGCGGAAGACTAGCGCCGAGGCCCAGGGAATCGTCCTCTGGTGCCCTCCAACCGGGGGGGGGGCATGCCCAAGGACGCGCGGGCACACGAGCTTGTGGTTCCCCTCCCCATGTCTCGGGACGACTGAAATGGGTACGGAAAGAATGGGTAGGATGCCCAACAGCCGTTCCTGCTCAGTTGGGACAGGACTCGCTTTCCGCGCCACCGCGGACGTTGTTCACTGAAGACGGCAAGCTGCCCAACAGCGGCCGCTGTCGGTTTTGGACAGCCTTTGCTGCTGGGCATTGTGACCACTTTTGCCGTATGAATTTCCGGGCGGCCACAATGCCCTTTTGGTCGTCTTCTGTACATTCTGAAGCATGGATCCGGCGCGTGCAATTTGCCAAGCAGCGGCAGCGTGTGTTGGGGTGTGTGGGGGCAGCTGCGCGCCCCCCCCCGCGCGCTGGCTGCGCAGCCTGGACGCTCGCCGCTGTGGCTGGCGCACCAGGGCTCCCTTTCCGCGACTCTGCCCTGCCGCGCCCCCTCTCTCTCCCGCGGCAGGGCTCGCCGGACGAGACCCTCTTCAGCGGAGCAGGGGCAGAATGCCTGCAGCAGCTGCGCCAA